CTCTAATACTCGCTTTAGTTATTATATAGTTGCTATACAGATGCGATATTTCTTTCGCAAATATGCAAATTGGTGCATTTTAATTAAATGATTTAACCAACGAATCCAGTTATTTTATTTTGTTGGTCTGGTTGAAAAACATGAAAATTATATTACATTTTATTAATCTGTATCAAAATGGTTACATGACATAATTTTTACATAATGTTTACCAAAGCTAATGAATTATATAATCATATAGCGGTATAAAAATAATAAAAAGCAATATTCGCGTTACATTTATTAATTACAAATTTTCTTTAAATTCAAGAAATGAAACAAAGCTATCAATCCTATTAATATTACGTATTAATGCAAGTGAAACATTTATATTTTTGAACCTGTTTAGATGCTTCCCTTGCATTATCCATCGATTTTTTTGCTCAGAAACTTACGAAACTTACGAAACTAATTACAGTCTGGATCTCTACATAACTACATAAGTTCTGACATAGAGCAAGTGCCACTTCATCTCAAGCGAAGCGGCCTTGATACATGAAAGTAAGACCGCGTCTCACATTTGATATAACGGCGATAAATATATGTCATACAGTCCATATACATATAAATATATGTATTCGATCACTAGTCGAAGTAACGATAACTCATACGATAGTATTGCTATATTTCCGTATCTGACACATTCTACGGAATAAAAAAGCTGTTTTCCCATAAATATATATCTTAATATTGCAATAAAATGGAATAAAAGTATTGTGTGCAAATACACACCAATGTTCAACTAGAAGAATTAAAGTTTAGGTTCATAAACAGAGTCGACTGGCCTCCAAGGATTGCAAGGATTTCACGACACACAAAACACAATTCCAAAGATAATCAATTTTGTTGTTCTTAAAGTTTACTTAGCGTGATGATAATTTAACTCGCTGATCAAAGGCTGATAGTGACATCCACATCAATCGAATTACTTAATTTAACACATTTTTAACAAGAAACTTCACTATTAATTAAGTTTCTTTCTCAATAAAAAAAATCATGAGACAAAGTTCAAAGTTTCAAGATATGGAATTTAAGTATTTAAATTTTCGAATTGCAATAACTTTAGTCTATCATTAATTACTGTATTTTATTTTTAAATATTATTAATTATTGTTTTATTTTTATTTGCTTTTATTTATTATTATTTATTATTTCATTACTTTTTTGTTACAATTTTTATAATGATTTGGGTAATTATTCTAAAAGCTAATACAAATATATAGTTGGTTATTTGATGACAAACATATCTATAGATTAATCGCCTAATTCCTAGGGGTCACTTAACGATCAATATTGACTATCAATTTATAGAAAGAGATATATGTGTAAACGTTGTTGATTAGTTCCAATACGAAGAGGATAAATTCCAAAACATTTTTATACGATAAAAGATATAAACAATATTACTTGCATAAATGATAATTAAATGTAAAGAAACCAAATGAAGCAAGACATTAAAAATAAAATTTTCGTATCATGAAGTTCACACACACACACACACACACACACACACACACACACACACACACACACACACACACACACACACACACACACACATAC